GTTAGTTCTTGGAATAGGAGACATATCTTTAAATAGCAGTTAATTCAGAATCGAAGACCAACTGTTGTTGTTTATCTATATCCATTCTTAGTTCAGCCTCTTGAATAGAGACAGAACAAAGATATTTTTACCACCATATGGCACAAGTGACTTGTGGCATGATCTACAAGTTACACTCCCTAGGGATGGAGGGATTTACTTAAAACAACCAAAAGAAAAGATATCTTACACAGTAATTCCTTGTAAGACTTCACTCACTAGTTTCAGCAGAGGCAGGAATTAACATGACAGTGAATTATGAAAAACTACTTTTACTGAGCATTTGGTTTGCTCAAACATTCATCTAACTGTAAGCTGAATACTTCTTTATCAAATCTAACAATGGCAATATATAGCAATGTGATCTGAATCACTGACAAGTCAGCAACTGCACTGAAGGAAGACAAGGGCAAGCCAAGTCAGGATGAGATCACATTTGGGATGCAAAGGTCAGTGTTTCACATGGGGCTTACAATCCAACGTCAAGGATTATTGTATTCTTGTTCAATCATATGCTTCCCACCACAACAAAGCATAATTTGGCTAAACCCACATTTCTTTGAGAAACAATGTTAATAATATTAAATGAGAAGATATTTATAATATATAGGTATTTATAATGTATAGAAATCCCTCACTGAGCCAGAGAGAAAACCACAACATATTTATCTCAATACAATCATATTTTGTAAAAACAAATGAGAGGTACAGCACAAGGTAGGAAAGCACATTTGAGATAACAGCTCGTGCACAGGTCTGCTGCTCTTAACACAGCAAGGGATGTGACTGTCTCAGCTCTCTGCATCAGTAAAGACCAGATCATTATGGTCAGCTAACACAGAGTCCCAGCTGTATCAATGACACTAAGGATGAACATTCCCTCTTTAAAATGTGAAGCACAGACTCCAAACTGAGTGAAGAACGTCTGTCATGGCACAGGAAAAAGTGCTGTTTAAATGAAAGCAGGGCTGTATTGAAGACAAGAGTGTGAGAAAAAGCTCAGAACCATTGTAGTACCATGAAAGATGAAGATTTTCTGATGTGCATATAACAGTTAAGTGCTTGCATTAATGCCTTTGAAACCCCTTTCGAAGGCAACTAGGATCTTTTCTTTTCATAGACTAGAAAAATCTCCATATAAAAGGCAATCTGAAGACTTTCTGAATAAAATCCAAAATATCAGAAATCCTGACACGCTTTATGTCTAAGAGTCTGAAATACCTACCAGAACAACTGGAGATGAACTACATATGGTTAAAATCTTACAGATAAGACAGAGGTTGAATCTCTTTAATTTGAATCTGCAGCAAAAGTTACTTCAGAGGATTATGAAACAGAAATAAATGTTCTATAGTGATATATAATTAATATCTAATAAAAGGTTAATAAACCAATATTACAATAGCAATATTATCATAGTAATATTACAGCCGTGATGGTCTAATGTTACAAGACAAAACTGGTTGGTTACTTCAGTCACATAAAGCCAAAGAAGTCACAGACACACATGACAGCACGTCCTTTTCTTCCACCTAATGGAGCTCCTCTCCTGCTGTACATTTATATTAGTAAAGCATTTTCAGGTGTCTGCTCTGTATGCACTTATGTAAGAAGTTTTCCAAGCTCCTCTGTAGGTTATTGACGGCTTTGAACTGGCATTCAACTTTTTTGAATGAAATTTTTTTTGCTATCTATTCTATACAATTAAATTATCTTAAAATGCTCACATTCCAATATTTGGACGAGAAAACAGCAGTTTACATCCATATCAATATTTGAGTAAAGACATTGTACATTAACAGTTCACTGAACAGAAAAAAATCCCCCCCAATCACTAAAACCATTTGAAACTGAAAATCATCAGGAAGTTAAGGTGTTAAGGAAGTTAAGCACCTTAACAATGCAGTCTTTGCAGAAACTTGAACATCAACAAATTGAAAAAAAGAAGGAAAAAAAACCCCAAAACACAAAAGACTCAAGACAAAAAGAGACTTTGACTGTGAATAATACAACATGGTGGTAACAACCCCAGTCACTCAAATCCAAATTTTACTAAATCTAATGAAGTTTTGAACTGCTTCCATGCAACATCAGAAGCACTGTAAATCAAATGTAGCTACTACTTTCATCTGTAACAGTAGACTAATCTGTAGTTTTTACGGAAACAGGAGCAAAAAAAAAAGTCCAAAACCAAATCCCAGCCTTAGATTAGAAACTTGCAGATGAAAAACAATTGAATACCAACTAAAACCAAACTCTTGCAGACACTCAAACATAATCTCAAAAAAAATTGAAATAAAGCAAGAAAAAACCCACAATAACAAGAAAAAAACAGAAAAATTGAACCACCTCATACATGGCATCTTCCAAAGACTGCTTCTGCAGAATGCCTGATTAATGTTCCTGTCTGCCCGAATCTCCAATTCCTCAACTGCACAAGAGACAATGAAAATGGAGAAATGCCTTCCTAATGACACTTCCACAAAGCTAAGTGTTACAACTGACACCTGATGCTGGCAGAGATGTCAAGGGATCACAAAGAACAACAGTCATGACCCAGGATAGATGGTAAGATGGTAACACAGCATTATGCAGCACTTGAAAGCTGTGTAGTCTTGCTGCTTTAGTGCTGTATTTAAAAGATTATCGTGAAGGACCCGATTATCAAACGACAAGACTATTAGCAACAATCTAAAGCATCAAGGAGTAGCATGGATTTCACTGTTTCTGTAGCTAACAAGGCTTCAAAAGCTAAAGCCACACATTTGGGATTTGTGGCACAATAAATTCCTACTTTACTCAACTGTAATTCTCCAGTCGTTTTTCTAGTCTGAAGAAATTGCCTAGCTTTCTCCCCCAGGATGTCATTCTGGGACAAAGTCATTGCAGTGCAACATACTGGGCAGTCCCAGGTATAAAGAACTTTTCTCTATACCACTATATCCTGTCACTGGTAATTATTGCTACATCTTCCCATTGTGCTAGAATCTCTGAGAACAAAGCACAATATACAGATGTTTCCAAGTGGACCAGATAAACTAATTTACATTAAGGCTTCCCACATTTTACATCCCAAGATGGAGACATAGCTTCTTCATCTGCTCTCAATTTCACCAAGCTTAATCCAAGACTCTAATTCTGGATGTCTGCCTCAAGCAGAATATCATTTTAATCTGAACCAGTTGAGAGATAAGGAAAAATCTATTTTGCACCTAACACTTCTTGAAAAAGCGAAGACTTCCTTTTTCTGAATCACTCCAGTTGCCCTCATATTTTGAAGACACTCTATTTAATTTTTAAAATACATGTTTTGTTTTTTAGGAAGAAGCCCTTATCAACAAACAATTCGTTTAATCACGCCCTTAATATACAGGTCTGAAAGGAAAAAAGGCAAAAAAGTCACTGATAGCTAATGAGGAGACCGAATAGATGAAAAGATGATTTTTTTTTAAATAGCCCATCCTTTATCACCTGAGATCTGAGTAGATTGTGGACACATCATTTCCATAAAGAAACTGAACATCCCCTAAGTGATTTAAACTACACATTTTAAATAGCACTCCTTCACGCAAACTTCCTGCTATGTGAACAACATGGAGATGGATAGCATACAATCTGAATGAAAGGTTTCACCAAAGGGGGAGTAGGTCCAAGACAGACAAACGAATATTTTAAACAACAAGAGACGAAAGACCCAAAGAACAGCCGAGCAAAGAAATTCAGAACTTGGCTCATCTCTGCAGCCTTAGCGTCTCCCAAAGCTGAGTCAAGTCTGGATTCTTTGAGTGTATTCCAAATGCATTTGTTCCTCTCACATCGATGAACTCACTGGCAAAACATCCATCTTCAGTGCTACTCCACTTCCTACTGCCATATTCATTACTACACTGGTTTAAAAGGCAAAGGTTCAACCCAGCAGATCACCCACACCGGGAGCAGCAAGAACTGATACCACGCTGTTATACTTGCACTAGTTTAACATGTAGAGGATTAGGGCTGCACAAAAATTAGGAAACGATACAATTAAGAGAAGTACTTTGTGCACTTGTGTTAAATGGTCTGTAGTTAACATCTCACATTCTAAGCTCTTAAGATGGGCATTCTCTAGAAATGAGGTGGGAAGAACAAGGGAAGGACTGTTCTACCCTTAATGTCCTACCGGATTGGAGACTTAAAGAAACTGAAATACAAATGAAGCATGAGACTGCAAAAAGGCAAAACAAGACCAGAGAATAAGGCCATCTAAAGCTACCCTTGCCACTGAGCTCCTGCATGACAGTAGATCAGTTCTTTCCTCCACGTTTATTGCTATTTTTTGTATGTTACTTATTTTACAGCTACCTATTCCGATAATCTGTAATCCAGCTTCTCTACATACTCAGCACATCAAGCAACAATTAGGACATGTGTTTTAAACACATTAATTGCTTTACACTATAAAATGCAAATGGAGGCAGGACAGCATTTTTGTATTATTTCTGCCAGGTGAAGGAAATTCATTACTAATGGGGTATGTAGATGTTATGGCATTAGCCAGCAAAGGCAGACTCTGGAGTAACTTAACAAATTTGCTCTTTAGGAAGGGTTTTACTAATAAAGTTTAAATGAACTGACTCTGCTCAGAAATAAGTAAGCACAAAGCTAAATACTAGGCAGCACTGAATTAAATCAATACAGTACAGATTAATGTCCTACAAAACAAAGAATTATGTAAACGTCGGCATTCTCATATATAGCTACAATAACTGCTTGAACTGACCCATGAACACTGCAATTCTCATCCCAAACATTAAAAAGACCAAGCTGAACAGCAAACCATAGGATGAGGCTGTAAACAGTCTAAGAAATACAACTGCATCCTTGCAGAAGCTAACTATGTTTATGCAATTTCCAAGCAAAAAAGATATTACAATTTAAATACCTGACTACCAAACAAGAGAGAAACAAACACAAACATTTACCTTATTGCAGTAAAGCATCCAAAGCTCATACAGCCTCTCTCGGGATGCCATTCCTTCCCTTCCTCTTCCCGTCGATCCCAGCTACTTTTCTCTTCAGGATCCTACCATGCTCAGTTCCCGGGTTCTCCTTCCACAGTTTTGCTTTATTATTAGTTATATCATAACCCGAGAAGAAGCCAAGTGACAGGGTCTCAGTCTCTCCTTTCCGAGTAAACAACGAAGTGCAGCACAAGCAACTGCAGACAAATGTCAAGCATGTCCGTTCTTCGCCAGCACTGCTTCGGTTTTAATCTCTGAAAGTGAAAACATACCCTTCAGGCCTTTGGTGGAGGGAGGAAAAAACAAATCCGCACTTAAAGCCCACAGACAACCCGGGGAACCGGGCGGCGGCAGGTCGCACCGCCTGGCTCTCTGACACTATTCCCCGGTGACGGAGAGGTCTGGTGTTTAATGTTGTGGCGCTTTCTCGCCGCTGCAGGGGGGAAGCCTCAGGGCTGCCGAGCGAGGCCGCCGGAGCCCCGGGTACCGCCGCTGCCGCTCCCGGCCCGGCAGTGACAGCCGCTGCCACCGCCCTTCAGCCCCGGCCCCCGGGCTGCGCGGCCGCTCCGGACCCCGGCGGGCCCCGCAGGCCGGCGGCTGCCGGGCAGAGCCGCGGGACGCGGGAGGAGCCCCACGCTGCTCCGCCGCCCGCTCCCGGCCGGGACCGGCCGCCCCGCGCCGCCACCTACCGCGCCCCGGCCTCCCCCAGCTCCCGCCGCGCTGCCGCGGCCTCTCCCGCAGCCGAGCCGGGCCGCGGCGAGTGGCGGCCGGGCAGGAGGGGCCGAACCTCGCCACATCGCCCGCCCCGCCCGCGCTCCCGCACACGCCCCGGGCCGCGCCGAGGGGCGGAGAAGCCGCGGGTGCCATCTTGGCTGCGGGCAGGGGCCCGGGGCAGAGCCAGAGCCGATCCACAGCCTGCGGCGCTTATCCGCCGAGCCGGCGGTCCCTGCCCGGCCCGCGCCCCTCGGCTGCACCAGGAGCGTGCCCGTAAAGAGTCAGCATCGCCATCCTGAGCACCTCAGGAAACCTCCGCACTGCTTTGCTTCATAAGTAACAGAGGTTACCAAGCAAATAAAGGTGTTTTACATATGCTCCAGAGAGGGCTGCCAGCATACCTGCCGAGCATCCATACATTCAACCTGCTGCCCCTATAAGGCAGCCCCCTACCTTGTATGCAGAGCTTGCATAGGACTAAGGAACCAAAGTTCGATTCCATCAAAAAAGTTAGATTTCCAAAGGAGAAATGCAAAAAGACGTCCCTCAGCTTGTGCGCGGCCCTGCCCAAGCACACCGGTCTGTGCTGAGCAGCACTCCACACTCCAGTGAAGGACCTTCCTCCTGCTCCTTCATTAACAGGATCTTCTTTGCATGCCCCGCAGGGCACTCCCCGGCAATGGGCTTCCCTCCGTCCCTCCTGTTCCCTGGGAATGTGAGGCTGGAAATTAATGTTGTGTCAGACTCCAAAGCAGAGAGGAGGCAGTTTAAGGAGACATGGGGCATCTCTCCAGTTTGCTGGGAGAATCAGAGTCCTGCAGCTTTTGGCCACAGTCCTGTCCTTCTGCCACTGGATCATCTCCTCATTTGGATTTGTACAGCTTCATGCAATGAAGCATTGCCATTCATTACACAGCTGATTACTTTCAGGGGATTTTAACACCTTTGCAATGATTTAATACAAGGTTTGGAAATCCTTTGCAAAGGAATTGACTTTGCAATATCGTTGCAGTGTCTGCTACATTAATTTTTTTCTAGGAAGAAAAGAGCCCAAAGACACATTGAGATATGTTCCTACAACAGGCCTTTGCATATTTGTCTTGTTTTTAGAAGATCAGTGAAGTTTCCCTGGAGAAATTTAAGAGCTAATCTGTGCTCAGTGTTGTTTCATGTGGATCATTGCTGTGGGAGTGGTAGAAGTATCTTTTACTGCAATATCTAAACATAGTATCTAGCATGGATGGAGGGACCCTGACAAAAATGAGACTGTAAAATTATTTTTAGTTGCGTGATACATGTGCTCTGGTACTTGATGCTAGCCGCAATATTCTGCTGCCTTGAGGATGTAACATAATTTTTTCCATCAAGAAAAAAATAAGAGCTTAGAGTCTAGCTCTGTCCCCAGGGCAGGATCTTCTGTGCTTAAACCACACTGGAGTCCCTTCGGTGAAATGTGTCTAGGAAGAAAAGAGAGCCTGCCTCCTCACTGAGAGACTTACCTCTGGGCTTGAGTTACTGCTGGGAGCTCCTCCCTACAGCCAACCTGCATCACCTTTCTAGCAAATGCAAACCACTATTATTAGGCCCTTCTGCAGTAATTCGTTAAAAGGAAGCTCTTTCTATCAAGTCTTTTGAGTTACAGACTCTTATCACATTTGTGTGGCTTTTTCTAGACTAAACAACAGCTTATTTCAAATTTCTTTTACAATTTGCTCCCCTTGAAGGAGTCAGGCCTTAGCAAAGCCAGGTAAAATTCCAATCCTGCCTTCAGATATTGCTCTGCTCTTTTGCATTACTGACTCCTGTAAGAGCAGCTGCTCCTACACACACCAGTCCTGCAACAACCTTCAACGAAGCAATAAAAAACCATCCTCTGATAGAAATGGGAGACTCCTCCCTGGCTAAGTGCTGCCACCCCCGTAATTCGGATGCTCCCAGACTATAAAGCAGCCATTTACCACTCTGCTAGAGTTGTAGCAATGTAGTTATTTTAGTGGGCCTAGGCAATCAGTGTTGCTTGTGTAGGCAGTTCTTGCCTTATATAGGTGCTCTAGATGGAAAGTAAAGCACTTGTGGTTTGCAGCAGAACAGTCTGTTCCTGTGTCATTCAGGGTGAGTGGTCTCCTGGTCTGACCTTCTACAGGTTTCCCTAAGCCAGGTAGCTCCCTGTAAGGTTGCTGAGGTGGCTTTGAGGTGTCTGCATCACTGGGTGTATGTCAAGTTTAGTCTCTCCCAGTACAGACATGTAGTATTCACTATGAGTTTTTTCTTACAAAGATATATGGGCAATAATGGGAGAGGTCAGTGGAAAAAGGTGGGTTACAGGTTTGTCTCTGCAGGTGGAGTATATTTCTAGGTGAATTTATATTTCAGTGTACTTACCTACACGAAGACTCAGCAAAGGATACGGAAATCAAAGAATGGAGGAAGGTGTAAAGAGAAGCATTGCCAGCTAAGGATGAGTACTTTAAAATGTGAGTGTTTATGGATTGTTTCAGCTGTGAGATACTTGTTAGACTTTTCATTGCCTGCTTTTCCATAATTATGTATGGATTGTTTCATGGACCTTAAACAGTCAGGTAGGCAGTGTTCATTAGTGTTTCATTGTTCCTTAGCTGCTGTCTTGTGGTAGCTGTTTACAACAGTGGTTATTTCTCATACTTTGTTTATTACTTGTGGGTTTTAATGTCTCTCATCAGGAGCTGTAAATTAGTCACTCAGTCATTTTACTATGGAATGAAATTGTTTGTCAGCAAGTCCAGGTAACAGAATGGGTAGAAAGAAGGGTGTTGATAAGGAGAAGGCATTAATTTTGTATTAAGGAAAGATTTAACAAAGAAATGGACTATACTGGATTGAAACTGAGTCCAGGAACCTCCGAAGTGGCAGGAAAAGCCACACATGTTATAGTACTGCTTTTGTGAAATTATGCTTATTTTCTGTGGATGCAAATGAAACTGGAAAAAATCTGTATTTGACTTTTAGATATTCTCAGGCCTGTTGTTTGGCCCTGAGGCTTCCACTGAAACCAAGTCCAGACCAACAGAAATCATGCTGAGGTGAATGTGTGGCAAAGCTTTTAGCTGAGCTTTTTCTAGATGTCTTAAAGCTAATGCTTTGTTTACCAACAATAAAGGCCTGAAATAAAAATGGACTTAGAAATTAGCTTAGAAATGAACCTGCCCCTCAGTTCTTCCACTTTTTTTTTTTTTTTTTTTTTTTTTTTTTTTTTTACAAACAGACTCTTGCAAAGAAGCAAGGAGTAATCTTTACAGTGTAAGTAAGCAAGTGGCCTTGTGGCTGCATGTAAAATTTCGATTATCAAAATAGCTTTTGCTGAATGTAAAGAAATAAGACTTTTTGGATGCTAGTTTCTAGACATTCAGGCCAAAATAACTTGAGATTGGATTTGGTGTGGCTATTGGAAAGAGGCAAGCTGGTCTTTCTAAGACTTCAAGGTCTCTGTGATGACATTTTGCTCAGGATGATTTGAAGTTCTTTGGCTATGATTGCCAGATGAGTTTGCAATTACTTTGCTAGGTAAGTCATGAAACCTAACGTTGTGTTTCCTTCTGTTACTATATATTCACTTTGTACTCCAGGTAATTCAGAGCTTGTTAGCTGTTCCTAAAATTTGAAAATGTGAAGGAATTTGTTTGCCCATTGACATATAAACCGGTATCTAGAGATTTTAGTTACTTTCTTTCAAAGTAGTGGAGACTGGCCACAGTTAAAGTTGAGAGGTGATGGTCTGGCTAATAGCATTAAGTCCCCCTGCCTGCCCTGCTTTCAGATATGCGTGGTTAAGCCAGTCACCAGACTTAAATTCAGAAAGGAATTTACCCCAGGGTAGCCTGGGACCCTGGTGAGTATTTTTGTCCTTGCCTGTCCTTTCGGCTTATTTCCACAGGGGGCCTTCAGTATAATGACTCCACCGTTGTCAAAGGCTCAGGCAGGGACTCGATCTCTTCTGCTCCCTTTTTCATAATATGGGCTCCCTTATCACAAGCCTTAAGTTTGCAGCTGTGCGAGGAATGTTCTTGTGTGGGTACCTCTCAAAGACCCTTTCAGACTAAATGGATAGTATGTGTTTATATGCTTTCATCTGCCTACGTTCTTAAACAGCAAAAATACATGGACGAAAGTTGAGTCTTAGAACTGCCCCTCTCCTCTGCTGTCATTTAGATTAGCTATGCAAGAGCTAACATATAGGTTTGTGCTACAGCTGTCTTTCTTTTGCAGATGTTTGAAGGCACCAGTTGTTACTGCACAAGATTGCATCAAAAAACTGTTCTGCTTCTTTCATCAAACTGACTTCTCACTCAAAGTAAGCCATCCTTTACTGTACAATCTTAGAGCCAGGGATCAGTGAAGTTACCATACTTAAACTTCAAATCATTCTGCTTTAGTCAAGAGGATATTTAATTAACTATTTCATTATATTGCAGTGCTCAGCAGTATGAATATGCAGCATGATTCCTGAAAGCAATCGGTGTGTCAGGAAAAAAACAACATTAGCAGCAACCAAGACTGAAGGATGTGTAGGTGTTAGTAGTCTGTTGATCTGTTTGAATTTAATTCCCTCTTAGCTGAGCAGGGTAAGGTTGTCTCAAGGATGTCTGCTATAGCAACTTGGAGCCTAACTTCTCTTGGTTTGGGGAAGAAGGCAAATGAAGGGAAGTAATTAAGGGAAAATGAGCTTAGGAAAGCTCTAACTTT